GTATGGCTATGGAAGTAGATTGCCCAACCTTCCTTCTGAGGAGTGGCTGGTGGATTTGAACTGCCAGCCTTCTGGTCAGCAGTCAAGTGCCTTATGCACTGTGCCACCAGCTCCCATGATTACCCAGGCTCGTAAAAACGCCGTGTACATAGTTATTCCATCAGGATCCTAAAATACAAACTTTTTACAGACGTGTAGTTGATGCTTACAACTTACAATTTCAAGTACTAAAAATATCTACCTTCAGAAGAAATGACGTTCCATCCACTTCTGCTTTCCCTAAAAGCTGACAAGTCAGATCAAAATACTGCATTGGCTGAACATCACACAGTTGTAGCAATGATGAAGAAGGTGGAATGTGATTAGATGCCCAAACACGCAAGGCTTCTACCGTTTTGTGGTCCTCAGTGGTGAAGTTAAAATACTTGCTTGAAGTACGAGGTATGATAGGAGCTCCCAAAGTTCCCTCAAAGGTCAAAGACGCAAAGCCAGAGCCAGTGATACCCTGAGTCTCATTTTTATATACTTGGATCTAAGAAAGTAGGGCAAAGTAGAGAACAAAACAAAAACAAAGCCGCTTACTGAGGCAGAACCCAGGAACTGAAAATACCTGGGGAATGACCAAATCCTGCTAGTACAATACACAGAGGACACATTTTTTAAAACTGGCATATAAAATTATAAAATCAACTCGTGCTATATTAAGATACACAAGCACCAAGTAAATTGTAAAAAACACTATACAAAATTTATTTATATTTTCTCTAATGAGCTAAGTAGTAGACTTGATCCTATCAACCTTATATTGTTACATTTTATTATCTTATTTTTATTAAGGTAAAATTCATAAAAGGAAGAGAATACCAAGTGACAATTACCTATGACACTATTAGAAAAAATTACAACTCTTAAAATAATCAGCTTTTGAAGTGACTAAAATAACAGCTAAGCCTAAGGTTTAATCAGTCTGACTAGAGAGATACCATAAGGATTTTTGCTTTCTGTATTTGGGGCTCAGTCAATAGAAGGACATACATCATTGACCGCAACTTCTTCATTAAGCAAACTTTTGGACCTTTATGAACCACTCTTCCCCATTCTACATCTTCTAAGAATTGCTGTCTGACATTAATAGGTATTGCATTTTCCTTACGCTTACTGTTACTATAGCCTTCTCAACAGGTTTACTTTCAAGTGTGTATTTTCATATTTAAAGGGAATTTTTTTATGGCTAGGAAATATTCTTGCTTTTTTATTGTCTCATTATCTCTTCATTGGAATTAGAATGTTTAATGTATATGCATTTAATGTAATTATTAATATGGCTGTATTTAAGTTCAGTGTTTTGTTATTTTTTGCCACATCCCTACATTTTTGCTCATTAAAACCTGTTTTCTTAATGTTCCATTTGTGTTTTCTTTTGGAATTCTTATTTGTTGTTGCTGTTAGTTGCCACTGAGTTGGCTCCAACTCCTGGTGACCCTGTGTACAATCAAATGAACTACAGCCTCGTCTTGAGCCATCTTCATGATAGTTGGTATGCTCCAGTCTATTACAACCGCCTGTGGGCATTTTGAATGTCTTCTAACTAGAGACTCATCTTCCCACACAATATTGGACAATATTCTGTTATAATTCATAGTATATTAATCAACTAATTTTCAGAAGTAGATCACCAGGCTTTTCTTCCACGTTTGTCTTTGTCTGGAAGCTTGTCCATCATGGGTGACTCTGCTGGTATTTGAAATGGCAGTAGCATTGCTTCCAACATATTAGCAATATGCAAGCCACCACAGTATGACAAACTGACAGGCAAGTGCTTTTATTAGTATTCCTTTAATTTTTCTCTTGATTATGAATGAATCCTTAACTTCTCAAAGTCTATAGGGAATCAACATTGTTCTACTGCATACTTAGTACTTGTGACTTCATATTTCCAACTTCCCATTCCATTTATTACTTTCTACCTCAAAAATGCAAAGTATACTCGTGAAATTCTATTTACTCATCCCAAACCAGAAACACATGGAATATTAATGAGCAAAGATGAGACAAGCTATGCTATGCCATCAAGGACATCATACATGAAGAAAGAAAAAGGTCATTAAAAAGAATGAAAAGACCAAAATGGATGTGAGAAGAGACTCTAAAAATTGCTCTTGAACATAGAGTAGCTAAAGGGAATGGAAGAAATGATGAAGTGAAAGAGCTGAACAGAAGACTCCAAAGAATAGCTGGAGAATAGAAAGTAAAGTATTGTAACGAAATGTGCGAAGATCTGGAGCCAGAAAACCAAAGGGAAGAGCATTCTGGGCATTCTTCAAGCGCAAAGAATTGACGAAACTTCAAGCCTCAAGTTGCAATATGGAAGGGTTCCATGGGCAAAACACTGAACAACACAGGAAGCATCAAAAGAAGTTGGAAGCAATACACCAAGACACGGTACCAAAAACAAATGGGTGATGTTCAACCATTTCACAGGTAACATATGATCAAGAACTAACGGTATTAAAGGAAGAAACCCAGGCTACACTGAAGGAACTGGTTTAAAAAAACAAACAAACAAGGCTTCAAGAACTGAGGGAATACCCACTGTGATAGCTGGGGTGATGTGTCAACTTGGCTGGACCACAATTCTGAGTGGTTTAAGCAGTTGTGATGTGGTTATTCCCATGATGACATCAGATGTGTATGTTTTGAGCAGCCAATCCACTGAAAGGGAGTTTCCCTAGGGGTGTGGCCTGTTTCCAATGTATATGGACATCCTGGGAAATGAGGGACTCTCCTGTGGCTCTGGCCTGTTGTGCTGCCTACAGCTGTCTGTGAGCAAGCAATCCACCATTCAGCCAGATGATCTTGGATTTGTCATCCATCGGAGTCAACAGCCAGTATATGGGCTGCCAACCTTGAGCTCCTCAGCTCCTGCAGCTGTGTGAGTCGGGAAAAGCTTCCAGTTTGACATTTGATCCAAGAACTTGGGACTTGCCAACTTCTATAAGTGTGTGAACCATTTTCCTAAGATAAATCTCTAACTCTCCATATATATTAGCTTTACTGGTTTTAATTCTCTAGAGAACCCAGCCTAACACACCCGTTGAAATGTTTCAACAAAAGAATGCAATGCTAGAAATGATCACTCATCTATGCCAAAAAATGTGTAGGACAGCTACATGGCCAACACACTGGAAGAAATCCATATCTGTGCCCATTCTAAAGAAAGGTGATCCAACAGAATGTGGAAATTATCGAACAACATCATTAACATCACATACAAGTAAAATTTGGCTGAAGATAATTCAAAAACAATTGCAGCAGCAGGGAATTGCCAGAAATTCAAGCTGGATTCAGAAGGACTTGGAATGAGGGATGTCACTGGTGATGTCAGATGGATCTTGGCTGAAAGCAGAGAATGAAAGAAGGCTGTTCATCTGTGTTTCCTCGACTATGTGAAGGCATTTGACTGTGTAGATCCTAAGAAATTATGGATAACACTGTGAAGAATGGGAATTTCAGAAAACTTAACAATGCTCATGTGGAACCTGTACACTGACCAAGAGGCAGTTATTTGAACAGAACAAGAGGATACTGTATGGTTTAAAATCAGCTAAGACATCTGTCAGGATTATATCCTTTTCATCATTCTTATTCAATCCGTATTCTGAGCAAATCATCTGAAAAGCTGGACTATATCAAGAAGAACATGACCATCAGGATTGGAGGCAGACTCCTCAACAATCTGTGATATGCAGCTGACACAACCTTGCTTGCTCAAAGCGAAGAGGACTTGAAGTACTTACTGATACAAATCAAAGACTACAGCTTTCAGTATGGATTACACCTCAATGTAAAATAAAAAATCCTTACAACTGGACCAATAAGCCACATCACAATAAATGCAGAAATGACTGACATTGTCAAGGATTTCATCATGCTTGGATCTACAATCAATACTCAGGGAAGCAGCAGGCATGACATCAAATGATGTACAGCATTGGTCAAATCTGTTGCAGAAAGATGTCTTTAGAGTTAAAAAGCAAAGACACCACTCTGAGGACTAAGGTCCACCTGTCCTAAGCCACAGTGTTTTCAATCACTTCATATGCATGTAAAAGCTGGACAATGAATAAAGCTAGACAATGAATAAGGAAGAAAGAAGAATCAATGTCTTTGAATCATGGTGTTGGCAAAGAATATTAAATATACCACAGACTGCCAGAAGAATGAACAAATCTGTCTTAGAAGAAGTACAGCCAGAATGCACCTTTGTTGTTTTAATTTAAGAATTACCATGACCATGAGGGACACAGATAAACTGAAGTATGAGAAGAAAAGGACAACCAAGATAATGATGGTTTCCATGTAACAGGAGGAAAAGATGAAGAAACTGAAATGTTTAACTTAAAGGAATGAATATAGAAAAGATTTGAAAGCTGTCAAGAGAATCATGTAGTAATTTCCAAATAAAAGTTAAAAAAAAATGCACTGAATGAAAACCTTTCAATTAAATTATTAGAACAAAAAGGATAACTAGTTAGAAGGAAACACTGCATTATGTTTTAAAATTCTTACTAGAAAAAACAGGTAATATTTAATAGCTCTACCTTCATGTTGATGGTTTCACTTATCTAACTACCATAATTTTAAAAGTACCTGTTCATATTTTAACACATTTATCACAAAAGATCAATTTACTTTGATTTTATGTCACATCAAAATTAATATGATTCAATACATTCACTGTACTTCAACTACCACAACACATAGGAAACAGAATAATATCTCATTCTTATACGTTTTGTTGGTGACCTAAGGATTGTTTTCTTCTTTTTAAACCAAATGCTCTTTATCGAATTTTATGTGGAAAACTTTTAAAGCATCAATCTGTATTTAGAAGCAAGTGGACAGAATGGAGCATGAATCATGGCAATTAATACATTCCCGAGGAAGAAGGACAGGAAGCTCATTGCAATGAAAAGATCTCCCACTATAAATTATTTTAAGTCTGATACTATTTACATTTCTTTTTCTCTCCTGAAACGCTTGATGTCATAGTCTAACAAAGCAACCACATAATTAGTGCTAACCAGCTTTAGTGAACAACACAAAGTTCTCTTTAAGCAACGCAAGTTTTAGACAGTACGAATTATACCTTCAGCCTGTGAAAGCGAACAATATCTCCATTCTTATAAATTATTGGGAGGGCTTCATAATTTCCACTAAAAAGCAGGCAGGTTAACTTCACATTTGTCTGGTCTACAATCGTTACAACTGAACAATAATCTGTAAGACATAAACATATTTTGAAGTAAGCATTACCTGACTTTCAGTATTTCAAAGCATTTGACAAAATAAGAATACATTGAGTTCAAAACACCAAACAAACTTCTTTCCTCCTTTTAATTAAGTCTTCTAAGAAGAGGATCAAAACAGAGACATTTTCTTGGCTTGCAGTATGCATTGCCAAATTATTTTGCCAAGTGCCCTCCAAAAAAAGCAATTTAGAAAGATTAGTAAAACATGATATACATCCTCCACCACTACTAGGTTTTAGGGGCCCTGTGGGTAAAGAAGAGCCCTGGTAGCACACTGGTTAAACACTGGTTGCTAACCGACCAGCAGTTCAATTCCACCAGCCTCTCCATGGGAGAAAGATGTGGTAGTCTGTTTCTATAAAGATTTACAGCCTTGGAAACCCCGTGGGGCAGTTGTACCTTGTCCTATAGGGTCACTGAGTTGGAATCAACTTGATGGCAGTGGACTTGGCTTGGTTTTTGGCTGATTAAAGCATTTGGCTGCTAACCGAAAGGTTAGCAATTTGAACCCACCAGCCCCGTTGTGGGAGAAAGATGAGGCAGTCTGCTTCCATAAAGCTTTACAGTCTTGGAAACCCTATGGTACAGTTCTACTCTGTCCTGTAGGGTCGCTATGAGTTAGAATCAACTTGACAGCAATGAGTTTGCTGGGTTTTGGTGTGGTATTAAGAATACACAAAATTATCTGAAAAAGTTATGGAAATAATTTACTCTTTTCCATTTATGTTTATAAAATGTTTATTATACAATTTAAACTGGCAAAAGGAAAATGTTTTCAATGATACTTAGGTCGCCATGAAAATGCTAACTCTTAAAGACTGGTGGCAGGAGTAGAAACTATAACAGATGTTTCCTTCTAATTTACATCTTTCAGAAAATTACACAGAATATATACATTCACTTTACGTTTATATTTATCTGTGAGGCCAGAAATTCTTTATGTAATTTCAACTGAAATAACATAACAGGTTTGAATGCTGAGGATATGAGAATCTTACCACTTTCTATTACTCTAGGGTATTAAAGAGATATGCAAAAATATGAAACAGTATCATTTGTCTCATTCATTGAAAAAAAAAAAGAAAGAAACTGAGTGCATGCATGTATGTATATAATGTTAACCCTTGATGAGAGGAAAAGAGCGATTCAAAACCAGGGTTACAGTTCTCGCGGGACATTCTCTTCAGCAGTTCTTGCCTCTCCACTACCTGCATTCTCTGTAGACAATCTATGAAGTACTTAAGACACAGGTCTCCTTTTTTGCCTTTTATCCTTCTTGCTGTTACTTCCAAGAGTGCAAAGAAACCAATAGTGAATTCCCATTCTGATGCTTCCTGACGTCCAACAGACTGCTAACTTTATCTCCCCTCCTTGTAGGGATTAGAAGAGGGATGGCATCCTGACTCGCCCAGAAAATGTTCAAGGGGCAGCTGTCATGTTAAACAAAGCTTCCAATTCTACAAACTATAAAACCAAGCAACTCAAATAAGCTTTGAAGTCATCAGGTGAGACAAAATTGTTTACCAGCAAAATACACCCTTCTGAAAACCTCTTCTTAATAATGCAGTAATTGGCAACCTTCTTAGCAGATACTTCATTACAAAACCCCAAAAGCAATCAGAAAAGTCTATTATAGTTTCCATCTTCGTTTATAGACCTGTATTTCCATTTCCTACAAGAACGGGTATCCTTTTTTTTGTGTGTGTGATTTGGGTGAAGATTTACAGAACAAATTCACTTTCCATACAGCAGTTCACATATACTTTGTCTCATGCCATTCACCACAGTTTACCACAATGCACAGCTCCTCTCCCACTTCCTCCCCATAGTTACCTCTTCCCAGTGTCCATGCCTCCATACACTCCTGTCCTGAGCTGTCTCCCTGTGCATAAGCAGCCCTTCTTTCTCCCATGATTGTTCTCTCCAAGGAGTGTATCTACCTCAGGTAAGTGTTCAACTCATATGCCTGTCTTTTGTTTGGCTGGAAACCACAGGTGTGGGTTCAATTCCAGACCTGAAGGGCAGCTAGGGGCCATAGTCTCAGTGGTTCCACCAGGCTCTATCGGACCAGCAAACCTGCCCCCCCCCCTTTATTATTATTTTTTTTCCTCTTCAAATGATTTTGAGTATTGTTCCACATTGTTCTCCCTCTCTATCAAGGATCTCCTACATAGATCCCCTTCCAAGTGGATGACAGTGGTAGCCGAGCACCATCTAGTTCTTCTGGTCTCATAGTTGTATAGGCTGCAGATCGGATGGTGTACCAGTTGCTAGGACTAATTGTTTCCATGAATTTTGGTTTTCTTCATTCTTCTTTGCTCTGGACGAGAAGAGACCCATCGTTGCATCTAGATGGCAGCTTGCTAGCTTTTAAGATTCCAGTTGCTACTCGCCAAAGTAGGAGGTTGAACAACGTTTTGTATAGTATGTTTTGCCAATTGAGCTAGATGTCCCCTGAGACTATGGTCCCAAGCCTGCAGGTTCAACTACTCAGTCCCTCTGGGTAGTTGGCTGTGACCAAGCAGTGACCAGTCTTGCCCCTTGTCAGTTCTACTATACACCTGGGAATTCTGATCATTCACATGAACTTATAAGACCACTGTCTGCCAACCCTATATATGAAGAACAGGTATTCCTAAGTAATAAAATCAACATGCTTTTTTCTTTTCTTTTTTTTTAAAAGCAAGGTCTAAAAGTCTTTTGGTGTTGTATCATTGTAGATAGACAAAAACAGGTATCCATAAATCTGTGCTACATGTTGTAGATTAAAAAAGGTCAAGACGAATAAATTGCCCAGGAACGGGAAACTGGCCACACTTGTTGAATGGTCTGCACATTTCATTATACATAATATTTGCCTTAAACACAAAGCAAAAAAAAAAAACAAATTATAAATAAGTATCGAACTCTATGTAGTGATATACATGCCAAACTACTTAGGAGTGAAGTGTACTGAAATCTTTAACTTACTGTGAAGTGGATCAAAAAAGAAATGTATTAATAGATTCATTAATAGTGGCTGGTATATGGTCTTCACTGTACAATTTTGTCAGATATTCTGTATATTTACATATTTTTACAATAAAGTTCTGAGAAAAATATGTAAGGTTTTATATATTTTTAAGATTAAGTATTTTCCCATCAATAGTATTTTCACTAGTTGTTGGAATAGCACACATTTACCAAATGTTATGATCTCTTAAAAATCTCCAAAGTTTCTGGTTTAATCAGACCAGAATTTAAAAAGTATTACTAAACTTATCTCAAAAGTACCAAAAGAGAAAGAAGGTATCTAACAGTATCTCTGACGGATAACAATTAAGTAAAGCACAGTTTTAATCTTTGATCTTTTCTCATTTTGTTGTGTTCCCCTCCATAACCATGCAAACCTTATTTTCTGTTATAGAAGGAAAGTGTGGAAGAGAGTTTCTAACTTTCACAAACATCACACACACAGGGATGCTGAGAACAGCAAAGAGAAGACCAAAATACCTAAAACTGACAGACAACTGTTGAGATGGTAGTGAGGTTAGGAAAGTACACATTTTGCTTATTAGTAAATGAACTAAACTATTTTTAGGGTTGACACCAATTTGTTGGGATGTCTCAGTTCTTATCTGTTGTCTGTATAATCTTTTCCTTATTCCAAAATTACAAATATATGTAAATCAAACCAAATGCACTGCCACTGAGTCGATTCCATCTCATACGTAAGTAGAACAGAGCAGAACTGCCTCAAAGCGTTTCCAAGGCTGTGTATGTTTATGGAAGCAGACTGCATCAACTTTCTCCTGCAGAGCAGCTGGTGGGTTAAACTGCAGCCCTTTTAGTTAGCAAGCGAATGTGTTGACCACTGTACCAACAGAGCTCCTTCATAACATACATAAACATTAAATCTTTCAAAAATGTAGCCAAAGATAGGAGCTTTTGATCACAACTTATCCACAAAGCAGAAAATACTGTATTTCAGCACTGTACCCTAAAAATCAAACTCAATATTTTCAACTACTCAAATTAGTACCTATAATATCCAAGTATATACTCAATCCTTTGAAGTTCTTAATACTGGTTTCCAAATAAAGGAAAATACTTCAGATTCCTAAAAGTAAATAATTAAAGTATAAATAATTTATAACACAAAAATGAATTTTAACTTTTTCTTTTTACAATCTCAAACTTTGTCTTTCTTTAGCCTTTTCTTTTCTAACCCAGAATAACTCCCCCCTTTTCCCAGGGAAGGGGAGTCGAGGAAGGTGGACGGGCTGGGATTCTACTCTCAGAAAATAAAGTTTCTATCATTTGCTCCAAAAGCTATCCATTTCAGTCACATTTCCACTTTGTAAAAACAACTTTGCCCTCGAATAACTCAGACTTTAAATTCAAATGTTAGAGCAAATCCATACTCGTTGTAATTTTGTGTTACTTAACACTTCCAACAAGTATTTCAAATGTACTCACCCCAAAGCCTAAGATTACACATCCATGAGCTCACTGTTCACTCGATACTCAAGAAGCTAGCAACATACACCATGACCCGCTGGTTGAGGGACTGAGGGGCATACCAATTGCACTCCAAAAGAGTGCTCAAAACACAAGGAAAACTGAAAACACCCTCCTGCACCTTAGTGCTCAGCCTTGTTTCTTTATTTCTACATTTTTATAGCTTTAATTTTGAACTACTGTTACAATCTGGAAGAATTTGTCCTACCCTCAAGTTCTCCTCTTTTCAAATGGCAAAGAGCAATTAGAATAGCATTCTTGAAACAATTCTATCAAGTTACCACCCTTACCAAAGAATATCCGAGACCACATTGTCTATGGATATTTGAGTTGTTAAAAAATGCTAATATGTAAGTATATATACACACCTATGTGTGTATATATTTAATTACAGAACATTCAAATAAAGAACTACTTCCTTAACATCAGGCAATGTAAAATGAGAATTAAGAATACACATACATACAC